CGGCAAGCAATACATGTGGAGAGACTCGCTGAAGAAACACATACGAGTCGAGTGTGGCAAGGACCCCACGTTCGAGTGCCCGATTTGCGGGCGAAAATTCAAGCACAAACACCGCTGGCAATCGCACGCTAGGCTAATTCACTGTATCAGTATATGACTGTCCGGAAGAACCTAATTTTAGCTAGTCATCGACGTTCCTCGCGTGCAAATCGAATAACTTCACCTAACCCAGACATATAAATCGCTAGACTGATTCGTTGTGCAATACCAAAGTTGTTCGAAAGAAATTTGTATCCAGCGGTAGCTTTTCTGAAAACCGAAGATCACTCGTACTCGCCATTTTGTTTATTTCTATCTTCCTGCCTGGTTCGAATTGTGATCATTGCTCTTCAAAGTTCCTTCGAAAGCGAGAATAATTGTGTCATGATTGTTACTTGTTTGGAAGACGAATAAAAGTTGCGTATTCTCAGCTTTGCGTTTTTGTATACACCGTATTACGCATATTTTCTACAGGGACATGGAATAGAGTTTCGTACGAGAGGACACAAAAGCGAACTATAACAGGAAATTATCTGTGCTTTCAGAAAGTGGCGACTAAAAGATTGTTGTACGCACGTCTTGTCTCGAGTCTGAACGTGAGATTTTTAACAATAAGTTCTCTGATCACCGATTGCGACTTGTACGTATACACGGGTGCTCTCGTTTCGCTCTCGCTCGTTCCTACACTGTGCTTTCCTTTTTTTTTTTACGATGTAAATAAAGATTCGAGGAGGATTCGACGCGTGGTGACCAGGTCTTCTCTCGCTTCGCGTGTAACTTGTGGAATAAATGCCTTTAGAAAACTCGCAACCTTACTCGTTTTTATTCTCGTATCTGTTTTTTTGTGTCTTCCAGCGCCGAGGTTGACGGTGAAGAACATCGACCACCTGGGTTACAAGAGGAGACCGATAATTCACAAGTGCGTCAGGTGTGGAAAGTGCTATCAGTTGCTAACGTCGCTGAAAAGGCATCTGAGGCTCGAGTGCGGGGTAGAACCGAGACAGTGCTGTTGGATTTGCGGGAGAAAGTTCACGCACAAGTTCAGACTCACACAGCACGTGACCTCGTGTGGAAAAAGCCGCATATAACACAGGGACAGAATACGAGTCCCTTCTAAATGGAATTCTCATCCAAAGTCGAGAAATGTATGCTCCGATTAACGAGTCGATCCCGAAACGAACGAATTACAAACAAACGGAGTACAAGCTTGCAGCAATATATGGAGGACTGCGCTATTAAATTTACAAGAGGATGCACGAGTTGCCTTAACTATTGGAAGTGTTTCCACGAATGTGATAAGAGAAAAGGATGTACTGCTATCCGCCGCTCGAAGAAAAATTACTATTTATGTTTTTATACGTAGCGTTGGCGCAGAGCTGGCAGGGCCAACTACCAAGCAATTCGCTGCTTGCAAAAAAAACGAAGAAATCGATCATCGATGCTGTACAGATTTTACACTTTTAAATAAATACACTCTCTCCTTCACCGAACCAAACGTTTACCCGACTACTCGACGAAAGAAACAATTGCTAAGAATTATTCCTCGATCTCACGGCGATTCTTTAACAAAGGATGCCCGAAACGAAGCCTCGTCGATGCAAGTAATCGTGTATGTACTTCGTATACTACTACTTCCGCTCTGAGTAACAATTTATTCTATCGCTTGCCCGTTTGAGGCTACTTTTGCTCTACTCTGTTTATCCTCTTCTCCTCTATCTAATCGTTTCCCTTCCCGCTGCACGCGTCGAAAACAGAACGAATAATCGATTTTTCAGGACCGCGACGCTTAAATCTCGCTTAATTCTTGTAACGAGAACGAAATGTTCCTTTCCCGGTCGGTGAGGACGAAGAACGGCGATAGACGGAGAGGAGCAGGCATCTAACGAACGAATTTCTGTCGTTTCAGGACTTCTGGCGACGATGTTGCTGTCGCAAGATATACACCAGCCTCTGGACAACAGCGACGCGTTGTGGAGCCAGTTGTGTTACTCCGCGGGTACGCCTTACAAGCCGAACAGAAGTCAAAGGGGGAAGGAGCCCAAGGAGGCCGAGCCGAAATACGTATGCAACAGATGCGGGAAAACTTACAAGGCGACCACGTCGCTGAGTCGTCACAAACGGCTCGAGTGCGGTGTCGTGCCTTGCGAGGTCTGTCCCATCTGCGACCGAAGATTCAAGCACAGATTCGTCCTCAATTCGCACATCGTCGGATGCCAGAGGAAGCTGCGACACATCATGGAGAAGAGCGACGACACGTCCGTCTACACCGAAAAACGAGACTAGCGTTCTTCGTCTCGATAGTCGTCCGCGCGTTCGATCCCCGACAGTCGTTCTACCACTTCAACGATCGAGGGTAGATCGACGATATCTACGTTAATTATCTCTTAACGTAACCTTGCTCGTTGCAATATCCTCATCTTAATTTAAGTTTTCTTTTAACTTTGGGAATAAATGGGAATTTTTGTGGATCCTGATCCGATGAATAGGGAGGGTAGTTTTAACATACGGTGGCCATAAACTGTATTCCAAATATTTTATTCGCTTCTTTTTTTATAGATCTAGAGTAGAGTAGCCGGATCGAGATCCATTTTTGAGAAATAAATTTTGTTTAATTGGACCGTATTTCGAATCTCTGTATCGTTGACTGCAATAGCGATTTCACAAGTATTATCCTGCTACGCGTAATAGTTATACCCTTAGGACAATAATCTAATCGCATCGTCCAGAAATCGATGTCTGGGGATGGTGAAATTTTTCATGATTTTATTGTTTGCTATACTTTGTTCTTCCATTTGTTTTCTTTTGTGATAAATCTCAATGCTTCGATCAGGGTATGAAGCTACCCTGTTTGGTATACTTCCTCTATGTACGTTTGATTTGTTTGGTGACTTTAATTTTCTTCTTATTGTGAAAGTATACGAGCCAATGAGAAAAAATAATAATAAAATTTTGTGTAATTGTTTTGAAGGAATATTCTGTACGCAAACCATAATTTCTTTTTAAATATGAACGAAATGTTCCTAGAGCAGACAAACTTTCTATCCTCGCGTATCGATAATACTCCAATCACCGGATTCTGTCTAAATCTGTCCATACATCTCGTCTCATTCTTCCCCATTTTCTACAGTAATTTCCGTCTTTTTTCTTGCCCTTGACAGAATCCTTCCATGTACATTATGTTTAAGTTAGACCATAAGTTAGGATTAAGTTGAATCGGGTTGTAAAATAGTCTCATTCACCGAACCTCGCTCTTTCATCTTGCTTGATACACTTCCTGCATATACATTACTTTATTTGGTGGATAAAGTCGAAAAAAATCACCCTCGAGCGTCTGTACAAATGTGACGAACAATTGCACGAAATTTTATCATTAATTTGCCCCGCTGTCTGATATATTATATCTTAAATAGTATTTTATAGAATCGATAGTGTATAGAGAAGAGTATTTTAACGAAGAAAGGACGAGCAGAAAAATAAATGGGAGAACAAGAAGATAGAGTCAAAGATATGGGGATTCGAATTAGATCCAGAAATTATTGTTACGCTACCCATTAACATCGTTCAGGTGGTAGAACGGCCATAATTTCCTTTTCTACGTATTCGTAACACTGCATGCGACACTTTTTTACAGCTTTGCCCAAGAAAAAAAAAGAAAAGACAATTGCTCTATACAGTTTGCTAATTGCCGTTTCTTTGAACGTCTGTTGAAAGAAAGGAATCGACTTAAGACAACCGATGGAAAGGTGTTTATTAAATGAGTATTAAACGAATCTTCCTTTCTCTTCAACGTTCCGCGAAGCCCGGGATTCACGATACTTTTAATCGTAGACGACATTTTCAGGCGGTCTCGTCGCGTATCTTTCGAACTCGATTAATTTGTAACATTATAGATCGAAGACATTTACGTAACGATTTTGTAGCGTCGAAGAAAAACCATTTTTTTTTGTTACTTTTAAGATGCATTTACGATCATGTACTTGTTTTGTAACGTATACAACCTTTTTTTAATACGTATCGAGAGAATCTAAGTGCACGCGACTGCGTCGTTTCGGCGTCTCGTCGATCGCAGTCCGCGTGGTGTTTACTTCAAACGAAACGCGTACCAAAAGACACTTTTGGACCGTTGTGTTTTATATGTATTGGTAAATAAACAAATTTGAACGAGCGATGTAACGAAATTAAATTGTCTGAAACCGGGCGCAGTTCGATCGACTGCGTCCACACCGAGGTTATTATTTCCCGTCTTGTCGACACCATGATTAACAAACCCATTCTTAATGTTCGTGTCGTGCTTCGTGTCGTCCAACCCTTCGTGGCATATCACCGCGTAGACCCCCCTAAACTCGTCGAACCCTAATCGTTACCGTTCCCCCGTGAAACGATTCTTGCCCCGAGGTACTTTCATACTTATTTGTTACTGTTAGTTCACCTGTGTATTAATTCGACAGGTTATCTAATGAAGAATGTCTGGAGCACGTCGAACAATTACCAAACCGCCCCGATGGATGATCTCCTACTGAAAGAGAGAAACTACAACGGGGTGTACTATTACCCGGGCCCCGTGAGCGATCTAAACGAGAAGCAGCCTCAACAGCTGTTCACCTGCTCCCTCTGCGGCAGGGAATACACCTGGATGTACAGTCTTCGGCGACATCAGTTGCAGTGCGGCAACAAGGAGGCGAGGAACAAGTGCCAGTTCTGCTCGAGGAAGTTCTACAGACGCGACAGACTCAAAGAGCACATACTGGCCCATCATCCGGACTTGATTCAGGGAATGCATTAACCCGATTAACGCTCGATCGTCCGCCCTCGCGTTTGATAAAACTTTTGCACGATGTAGAACCGCGTTGAAATAACAAGAACGACTCTCGAATCTCGGAGGAAATATCTAGTTCTATCTTATATTGTTTGCGTTATTCAATTTATATTTTAAAAACACAATATTTTCTAATTTCCCCGGTATGACCGGTAGGTAACAGGGCGGACGCGGGAGGAAACGTTTTGTGTTCGTTCCTCACTGATCGAAATATTATTTACCATTAACGTTAACTTTCTTTTTGTATTATCTGCGTGTGTCGTTCGTATAGACTTTATGCCCCGTTCTATCGAACTGTATTTTTCCCAAAACTCGTCGATTTAATAAAGTTATGGTCAATGAACATCATTGTGAATCGAAAACGAAGGCTGCTTTCTCGTCTGTACATACATACATACTGTATTCCCACCTGCACCGATAAAAAAATGATCACCTGTTAGCGATCATCGGTCAATTAATACACCGATCGTGTATTTAGTCACTAGAGTCGACTGTCTTTCGATAAGACTAAGATTCAGAAGAGTATCCATCCGAGAGAAAACGTAACAGCGTTCTATTCTATTCAGCATCGAAAACCGATATCCCAAGCTACTCGAGTACAGTCTTTGCGCCTACACTTTTCGCGAATCCAGGTTTCTTGGGGTCCTTTAACTCGCGCGATTCTTCAGCCACGATCGACACGGGGTAACCGATTTGATTTGCGTTCCAGATGGCTCAATTCTGATGGACGAGCTAGCAGCTTTGGAGTTCGCAGACACCAAGAGCTTCGAACCGGTACCGATAGCCTACAAGCCCCATATTCCACGCGCTCCTCGCGGGCTGCAAACGCAACATTACATGTGCGGGGAGTGTGGAAAGGGGTACAAATGGATGGCGAACCTGCGCAGACATCAAAGACTCGAATGCGGAAAGCTACCAAAGTATCACTGTCGAATGTGCAGGAAAGACTTTTACCGGAGATACGAATTGACCAATCATTATAACACCAAGCACACCGTGAGCAACAGCCTCTACGGGAACGAAAACACGACGCAGAAGGATTCGACGACCACCTGGCCGGTGTAATCGATCGAAAGTCCGATCGACGATCGCGATTACCGAACGCTGTGTTCATTTTAATCTCGGCACATTTCCACGACAACTTCGAATAGAGGCACTTCTTTGTTTACCTTCTTAATCGATAATTTGTTTCGCCTGTGTGTTTCACTCTGGGAGATACTTTCTTTTTATTTATATTCAAACAATATTAACCGATATCGTGACTTATTTATATAACGCATGAATTGTATGGTGACGTTGTAACGTGGCGTTCATTGAAAGAATCGCATTCATTAAACGCACTTGCTTCTTTATACGTATAACCGCATCTTTCACTACCTCTCTGCGAAACTGCTTTCGCGTCTGCGGCGAGTAACATTAATTAATAAATACTAATTCATTGTCCTAACGTAGTCTTCTTCTTTGCGATTCGACCACAATTTCCATCGTCGAATGAAGAAGTATTTTATCTCTTATTTATGCAAAGCGTCATCGACTCACGAGAAACCAACGAATCAGCGGACCCCTATTTTTATTTAAATCGTAGGACCTCACGAGTTTGAGGGCGTCAGGTAAATACATAATAAATTCGTACACGAGATGCAAACGCAGTCAAACCTTTCGTTTGTATCGTGTGCAGTAAGTAACAGGATCGATTAACGATTGTCGCGTACTCGGTGATCCAGGATGATCATCGAGGCACGACAAACTCCTTAATCATTAATCGATAAGTTAACGTGTCAGATGATTAACATTTAGACAAAATTGTTGTTCCTTTTAATGCATGTTCGTCCAAGTTCTACTCGAATTCTCCCAGCCATTTTGTCCAGTACGTGTTTGTTAACGCGAATCGTTCGTTTTTCGCAGGCAATCAGGCGGATCGGTTGAACGAGTGGTTCGTGAAGGAAGAGATCAAGTACGAGATGCCGCAATCTCTGTACCAGTACGTAGCCAGCAATTACGAAATGCCGAAAGCGCAAGAACGGAAAAAGCCGACGAAGAACGTCGTCTGCGAGGAATGCGGCAAAAGTTTTTCGCGGCCCGACAGTCTTCGAAGACACGAGAAAAGCTATTGCAAAGTGAAGGGCGATAGAATATATTGCCGTTACTGCGGCAAGAAGTTTACGAAACAGCATTTCTTAAATACTCACATGAGAACGGCGCACTCGAAATCCGCGCGTTAAACGACGACACATCGAAACCATTAGATCCCTTCTTTCGTTTTTCGTATCACTTATACGAAACAGTTACTTTAATCGCGTTCCACGACGAACGTTTTGTTCTCTCGTTGTTGAGTTAATTGTATATACGTTGTTTTGTTCGGGGCCCCTTACTTCTCGTGTTATGTTTATACGTTATCTACTTGTTATTTGTTCAAATTTAATTTCTATTTATTTCTTATACAATTCTATGCTATACGACGATTGTAAATTAAAACACAGAAATATATCGATGGTAGACGAATAACAGTGCAATTGCCCGTGCATCCGTGTCTTCTTCTTTTTTATAATTATCACGGATGTACGCGAAAGGGCCGTATAAATTTGTTACCGACTAATTACCGCGCGAACAATCATCTTGCTACTTTGTAAGTCGAGATATTTGTATCGAGGTATCGGACGCGCACACGGTGTAACGTTGCCAACATGTTAATTGTAATAAACAACTTTGTAACGTGCATTTTAGTTTCTTTATTATCTTCGGTTTCTTTGTAGTTCTCATCCGTGTATCAGAGAAGATTGAACCACTCTCGAAGCGATCCTCTTCGATCAAACAAATCCAAAAAATCTTGGTTTCGAGATTTACGAAACATCGAGACCTTGTACGATCCGACGAGCCTTTTTCGTTCGCTGATAAATTCAGATAACAAGGGATTTAAGGAGATTAAAACGCTGTTAAAAGGCTCGCCAGAGGGTGCAAATTTTCCGGGTTTCTCTGCTTATCCGTTCCCCCAAAAACGATCGCGATCGTAACCACTAACAAGACTCCCTGTCGACCGGGCAATAACCAATCGCGAACCTCGAGTTTACGAAGAAGATGGACGGCAAGGTAACCTTTGGCTACGCCGAAAGATGCATGCTTCTCGCTGTTGGCTGAGCTTCGTAACGCGTAACATTGCATGCGGCGTGCCGGCTGCGTTTCTGTGTAATTTTAACGGAGAAACGCGTCTTTGCAGGCGAGTGTATGGAGGTGATCGCGGAGAAGGGCCAAGAGGACGACGCGGACGTTTGCGAGGTCTCGTTCCACGGGCAGCTGCCAATGAGCTACCTGCTGTGCGACTCGTCCATACTGAGCACCGCAGAGACGAGCGTGGCGCAGAAAAACGTCAAGTCCCACCAGCAGTTCCGTTGCGACGGTTGCGGCAGAACTTACACGCGAATGGACAGCCTGAAACGACACCAGGGCAAGTGCGACGCTTCGTTGGAGAAGCTGCAAGAGGAGGTCGAGTGGCTTCATCGGCAGAAGTTTTATTGCAATCAGTGCGGAAAGGGTTACAAAAGGTTGGACACCTTGAGGAGGCACCAGAGGCTCGTCTGCGTCGACAAAGACAGCGCCTCCGGCGGCTCGTAAATCTTTCTTGGAAGACTTCGAGCGTATTTCGTCGACCGTTCGCGATCGCACGTCGTAGTACGCGTGAAAACTAATATTTATACAAGCTGACAATATCGAGCGTCCGATCAATGTACAGCGACTGTTCAAATTGTTAAATGTTTGTGCCTGAGTGTACGTCCATTAAATCTGAAGGAACGAAAATGTTGGATGTTGAACTGTAACGAGGTTGTCTCGTGCATTTTTCACCGTCCCCGTAGAATATCTCGCGACACTTTCCGTGGACATTGATCGTTACCGCTTTGCGCTTTTCCCGCAGGTGCCGAGGAGGCCCGTGTGTACGACGCGTTGTGGATGATGGAGAAGAAGGCACGATACCTAGAAGAACGTAGACAGTTCGTTGGGAAATACGCGTCGAAAGACGCGGGTGAATCGACGGAAACATCGGGCATGGGTCGACGTTACGGGACGCATTTTTATGGCGACGTTCTCCAAGCCGAACACGTCTGCACGGCTTGCGGGAAGAGGTACAAATGGTTGGACAGCTTGAAGAGGCACACCAGGGTCGACTGCGGCAACAAGGAGAAGAAATTCTCGTGTCACATGTGCGACAGGAAGTTTAAATATCGATACGAGATGCGAAATCACATCGTCGCGCACCACGGCGCGTGAACGAAGTTTCGAAAGATGTTGCCAAATTTTTTGAAATTGCTTCGTATTTCCAGCAGAACGCGCGATAGAACTTTACTAAAAAAAAATATTTTATTCGGTTCGCATCTTTTTGATTATCTTTGGGCGACGAAGTCTTGGAAATGTTATTACTGCTGGATTTACGCGTTTCAAACATTTAAGAAAATTAATTAGTTTGCAATTGAATTGCGGAGAATTAAAAATTTTCGACGAACGAATAGCCAATGGTTAACGGATGAAAGTAACAGTGCGTGGCTCAATTTTCGCGAGCACACGCGAAATAGGAGGCTCTAATTTCGAAATTTACTTAACTCGGGTTATTGCAACCTAGTGATGGTTATTAGAAGATTTAAGATAATCGTTTAACACGTTATTACCTTCTGACTTATGTAATCCATGATAACACAACATGGTACACGACACATGTTTATGATTATGAAATAAAATATTACTGCCATCTATATGATCTGTATAAATGTTAGTATGTTTCCACACATTTAAAAATTTCTCGGTCAACCAAGGTGCGTCATCTTCGATTTCTTAGATGCGATTCCTAATCAGTGATAAGAGTTACTACAAATATTCTAAAGTCTTGTAAAATTACGACGGGTCTTCTAACATTTCGAATATATCGAGTGACGTTAAAAATGTCATGTTTTCACGTAACTTGGAAATTTTGCACAGAGATCCACAAAATTAAGACTAAACTAACAGCACGAAATCAATTTACGTTTCCATGTAAGATCTCGTCGTCAATCGATTGTTTCCTTAGTCATGAGACTTGGTTTTTTTCAGGAAAACAATGGTACATACTGGATGGTCGCGTCGCGTCGCGAATCTTGTCGAGTCTTCAAGTGGCGAACGTCCATCCATGCCAGTGCGGAAAGGTTTACAAGCACAGTAGGAATTTAAGAAGACACCAGTCCACGGAGTGCAGCCAAAACAAGAAACGACATTCGTGCGTTCAGTGCGGGAAACGTTATAATCGACGTTACGAATTGATTCGTCATTACGTCGTCGATCACAAAAAACGATGATTATCAATTTCTTCTTCCTTTGGCGTAACGCCGGATACTTTTTCCTTTTTTCATTCACGAAACGAAAAGAGCAAAAGGACCGCAACTGTACGCTCGATGAAATTCTACTTATTCGGCCCCCGTTTATCGTTTCTCCAATTAATAAAGTCGTTTCAATGTTTTATCACGCATTATTGTTACCCGCTCGTCTAACCGTCGACTGTAAAATTCTTACGAGAAATAAAAATTTATATTTCGAGCGGTATTGGATTTCTGTGTCGCGTTTTTGTCGACGCATCGAGAGAAAACTTGGACCTCGACGAATAATGTCCAGGCTCCGTTAAAAAAAAAATCTCTTCGCCACCTATTTCCATTCACTCGCAGAGAGTTTCGTGAATAGCTCCTAAACGGTGTGTTTGTTTCTTTATATTTCAGATACGTTCTCCATGTTGCAGCTGCCGTATAGCATATCTACGGGACTGCAACCCTACGGTTCCGGTGCCAATCATCCCCAGCTCGATATGAAATCGACGCGTTGCGACGGAAACACCATGAACATTTGTTTCGGTTGTGGAAAGAGATACAAATGGAGGGACAGCTTGCTGAGGCACCAAAGGGTCGAGTGTGGTAACAAGGAAAAGAAATTCTGTTGCACACTGTGCCCGAAAAAGTTCTACCACCAGTACAAATTGAACGAACATTACCAGGGTCGGCACAAACTGCCCAAGCTTCGTTGAACGCGAAGACTTTTGCAACATTTTTTATCGCTACGATCCTTAGAAAATTGTCTCGCCCGTTTCTCGAGAACTACAGAAAATGTTCCTTGAGAGTAAACTCGTAAAATGCAATTTTTCGATCGTTTCTTTCTCGAAGCGTTGTGTAACGACAGAGTTGGACAGATTTTGTTCACGAACAACGAATCAAAATTTTAAATTCGTCGACTAGTTTCTGCTCACGGCAGTTAGTTTACGAATTGATCGAAAAATTTTATTCGTTGTTCGAGATTTTATCCAATTTCTATTTAAACAGCTGCGTGTAATTTTATCGAAATACGTTAAACTATGAAATTTAATATAGTAAATGTAAATAGCTTCACTTGTCGATACGTCTGAAGTTTCTCACCAAAATAATTTCAGTATAGTAAAACAAATATATCGTTGTTTCCTTAAGGATTGACACCGTCTAAAAGTAGGTAAAGTATGGAAATTTTTCTCATAAGTAATTACCAAATGAAACGTTTAGATTCGATTAGAAGATATATGCAAATAACCTTCGACTTTATTTTTCCAATTTTTTAAAAATATTCGAAACGATTCCTGAATCCCCTCGTGCTAAAACATCGATTCTATATTTAAAACGATAGAAGAAATTATATTCCTACGATCGTTAAACTCTGACTAGCGATGTACTAAGCAATTCACACTTTTCTACCGGAGCACGGTCGAACGAAACTTATTAACGCAGATCGCGTGACGAAAAATTGTAAATGCAAAATTTATAATCGATTTGTACGTATGTGTAAGTACCGATACCTGACTTTAACACTCGCAAACCCGCGGAGAGAATAATTGTAAATCGTGACTATCGTTATATTTTCTAACGATACTCAGTCTATTTTCACTAGTTCCTGTTACTAGATAATTAATAAATCACGACTTGCCATCATGACGTTTCATTCCTATCGAATCATTGTTATCGATATTCTTACCGAACATTGTATCCGTACCGACGACCTCGCTGTCCTTTTTATGAAAATAAAATGGAATTCATCTAAAGATTCCCGATTTCATAATTGAACGTTGCGATCGAAACGGCTGATGCGTCACGACAGCAATAATTTTACGCGTATCGTTCAAATTGTCATGCGTTGAATAAAAGAACCCTCGTCCAGTCAATCCTCTGGGAACAGATTACACGTTTGGGCGAGGATCGTAGCTCCACCCTGTCGATTCCATCGAGAAATCTAACATAAATCGAGGGCTACTGTACAGGGCGATTCTCACGCGGGTAAACTTCCGTTCGATTTCACTTGCGGGAGAATCGCCCTGTATCTGGACGGCAGAGGTTGACGCATGCATCCTCGTTGGTCCGCGTACACTATCGTTCGCCTGGATGCCAGGAATGCTCACCGCGAAAGCCTGAAAAGACGGACAACGAGCGATTGCTTTGATGGTAAACGGTTAAGTGTACCCTGATTTGTGCTTTGTGTAAGTCCACGTTCTTGTCATCAACATACTCCCTTCGAGCGGCTAACACCGTGTGCGTAATCATCGTCACAGACACAGACTCATTGGAAGCGAGGAGTGGGACCCCGCGGAACGATACTGATCCTCTTATCTGTTTTCTAGACCGGAACTACTCGCCAGGTGCAGCGATCGACTGGTACTATCAGTACCAGACACTGTACTTGCGGATGATGGCGGAGAATCAAATGGCGGAGAACGTGGCAGCCACGGAGAACAACGAGTGCCCTGGCAAGGAGCAAGACTCCGAGAGTTGCGCCAACGAGCCGATCGTCCTCGAGAAAACGTCGGAGAAGAGGTTCAACGAGGGCTCGAGAAATCACGCGACGTTCGGGCCGCGGGATTCGTCGGAGTATTCGTGTCCGCGGTGCGGAAACGCTTACGTAAGACTCCATTCGTTGAACAGGCATATCAAGTTCGAGTGCGGCGTAGAGCCGAGATTCGAGTGCCCCGTGTGCCACAAGAAATCCAAGCACAAGCATAACTTAATACTGCACATGAGAACGCATCAGAAATCTTGAGGCGCGGACACGGCGATCTAAACGCCGGCCATCGGGCTTCGACGACCGATATCCCACCGTCGATCGAAAGTTCGGGATCCTTGATCGACCAAACTAAATCAGGCCACCGAGAACGATCGCGTTTATAACTGACAAACACGATCCCAGACTTTTGAACGGCTGTGGGAATATCCAGATGACACGTGCTTGTAAATAGTACAAATGCAACGATCGTCTCGATATTTATTCCCGATAGGCATGCCGTGTCTTATCCTTAGATGTTTAAGAACTCGCGAGCAACGTTGAGTCCAGTTGCTTTCACTGTGCAATTAATGAAAATTTATCTAAGTATTATACGTTGCTGTGAACGTTCGTAGGTTCTACGATTTGTTCGTTCGTTTTAATTTCTTTCCAATTTTCGCGCGATGCCTTCCAAAGAAATAACGTAAACAATTTCCATCGTTGCTGCTACGACAACCTCGTTTCGTGTCGCATGATTCCAAGAAACCGTCAATTAATGGTAAGTGTTTAGGACTTTTAGTACGATAAGCTTGTCCGTAAAAAGCTCAACGTTCACGAACATGTTTTGTTATAACCGTCGACTCCGTCGTTTGATTAAGTTTTTGTTTTTCATCGTCGCACATTCCGTATACACTCCAAGTATAAGTTATATTTTCACGCGAGAGCGAAGTGTTAAAGTTACGTTTAAAGTTTAACGAACGTGTCGAAAGTAATATACAACGTATCATATACAGGGTGTTCTGTCACCCTTGGGAAAAATTTTAATAGGAGATTCTAGAGGCCAAAAAAAAACAAAAAAATTATTAAGTCTACTCTTACTTTAACGTTAATTACTTTTTAACGAAGCTTCGATCAAGAAATAGGTATTCTTGATTTTGGTTTCTAGAATCTCCCATTAAAATTTTTCCCAGGGATGGCCCAACATTCTGTATATTAACACTAGATTTGCGGAACATTTCATATACTTCCTAATTAAAAGATCAACGCGAAGAATTCCGATAAAAATATGTGCAAACAATTTCCGTAAGTCTAGCGTTAAAAGCAGAGTTACTTATTGTTACTGCAACGCTGTTTTTACATTTTTGTTTGTTTTTTTTTGTATGCTTCGCGTTTTATACGTTTTACAAATCTCCTTCTGTACTATACACTGAGAACAGAGATCTCGAAAGTAGTTAATTATTTTGTTACCGTGCATAGACTGACTCGCTGCCATTGTTATTACGTGTTCAGTAAGATCGTGGAAAAGAATAACCGATATACGATTATGTTTTTATATTTTACGCTCAAGGTTACGTTAATAGACTTCCATAGCATCGTAGAGTAAAAAATTAGATCGATGGATGCTCGTTTTGCGTTACAATTGTTTGTTGAAGTTCGTGATACGCTCACGGCGAACACATTGTGGAATGTGTTGTATAGTGTCGGCGAAAAAGAGAGTCTGAGAAGAAACTGTTAAGAAAAGAAGCAAATATACATATGTATATGTTTATAAATCGAGAAAAATACGCGCGCAATAAATTTATATTAAGTATAAACAGGTATATGTGATTGTAAGACATTGGAAATAAATATTTTCTAATTTACGAAACTCCGTGGTACCCCAAGTAATTTTTTATAATATAGTACAGAGATTCCCCCGTATGACGCGATGGTCAGGTCCCGAAAACGTGCCTTGTTATACGAAACAAAGGACTATTTCATGATCGTAAATGTTTCTATGATAATTCATAACTGCATGTTAGACGCGTCTCGCGATTTATCGGATGACGATTTTATCAACGACGATTTCATTTTTCAGGCAGAGAAATAAAGTTTTTCTACAAACAGCATGGCTCGATGCAAGCTCCTCGAGATGATTGTCCCAATTTATCGTTTCTAATTGTTATGTTGCCACAACAAAAACAAAAGAATGACTATCACACGCTTCTTCCACTTGCGCAGTCCTTTTTTTCGTTCGCGATCGCGCGAGGAAACGGACGCTGTACTGATCGTTTGAAACAATGTTGCAGTTTGGAAGGCGCTGAAGGCTCTGGAAGACGGGCCGCCGTTTTTGTGCCCGAAATGCGGTCGTACTTACACCCACAAGTGCAACTTGACGAGGCACTTGCGCCTCGAGTGCGGCGTCGGTCCGAGATTTCAATGCGCGTGGTGCAAGAAACGATTCAAGCATCGACATCACCTGGGGGACCATCAGAGAATCCATCTTTACGCGAACTGCGCCTTCAAGCCGCGAAACTAAAACGTCCATCATCTTCCTCTCTCCGTTGTTTCGCGATCCCGTCTATTTATTTATTTATTTATTCGCAAACGGCAAAGAAAACGTTTCGTACTTGTAGGCACGCACAGAAACACGTTACGTTTGACAGGTTTTAATTAACATTTTCTAATGTTATCCTTTCGACGTCGTGCGATAAATCTCGCTGTGTAATTTTTAAGTTGCGCGTACCCTCGGAGATAAAAGGGTAGTACTATAAAGCTACGAAGTACATGTATAGGGCATTTAGACGAAAGGAAAGAAAATATAGACAGCGACGAATATCCATCGACGCGATTATCGAGTCAAATATCTTCGTTTAAATGAAATTCCATGTAATTACTGTTTCGTCGACGAAATCGTATGTGGGATCCGTACTTAAATCACCGATTTGGATATTTAGCGGTGTCCGAGATATAAGATTCGAAGCTAAGGTATTTTCGATGTTTGTGGTCAGTGTGATTGTCGAGTCTGCGCCAAAGACAAGGTATTAATAAAGTATCTATTAGCGTGTAAGTCGTAATTGTACACCGAGCGTAGACGGTATTAGGTATATTTGCGAATCTGTAGAGACTGGAATGACACGAGTGTACAGAGAAGCAGCCAGATTGGCCGTAAACGAATCCGTCTCAATTTTTTTGTAATCCGGTGCTCTAAGTACATAATAAGAAACGCCACGGCGAAACGAACGGTTCCGTGGCTCGAACGACCGAGATGTTCCGGAAGATAGAAGTGCAAATACCTCTTAATTGTGCCAAAGATACGATCTAAGTTTTACGGTTCGAGAGATCGATGCAATAAAACGCATTCGCGACGCATCTCGTCGACGACGACGACGAGAAATTCAAACCTTCCTACGCGGATAATAGTGCAATATAAGCTAGCTTGTATGTACGTCTTAAATACGCTTCGAGGTTTTCCTAGTTTGCTGAGAGTCGATCAAATTCGATCGTAACGCGCGAAAAGACAACGAAGCGTATTCGCTGACAGACGCTTCTCTCGCGAATGATCAACAATTTTATCGTAGCTTGCGTGTTCCAGAGATGGGCAACTTTAGCGGAACAATTCAATTTTTATTCTTCCGTTCTATATGGACATTTTAATTTTCATTTGTCATTCGCTGGTTACGAAATCTGTATTTAGATAAGAATGTTGCCTATCTCTGGCGTGTTCCTTAGAAAACAGAGATTCGTTTTAGATACCAAGAGTGTCCAAGAGTCTGCTCACGGTAATACAATCGCAAGTACAAGTTTCTAAGAGTCGCCTGTGAGTTGTAATCGCTCGAGATTTATGAATCGCGACATCGATTTGCAGAATCATCGAATTTTATCGAGCGTCACTTACGCTTAGAAATATTTAAGCAAAATAATAGAAAGCTGCGCGTTGTTTAGATAGTTGGACGATTAAGTTAAACGCTAAGCCAGGCTTTACAGTTCCTTTGATGTCCGTAGCACGAACGAGACGATAGAGCAATGGTATCTTTTATAGACAGAGCGAAAACTACAGGGTTTCCGACTATGTTAACAACCAGTAATTTATTTCGACTAACTCGGCTGGGTCGCCAAGCGAGCTACGCGAGTAGCGAGTTGCGTTTACTTAACAAAAAGACATGTACCTTCGCAAAACAGAATAAATTTACTTTTTACGAAATCTGACGTGTTCGTTCTACCTTTGCAAGTAATTTATTCGATAGATAAAATTAACTTTAGTCGTGCATCTCGATCATAAATGGAATTTTCAAACTCTCAATATCGCTTTGCCGTCAAAAATACGAAACAAATTATTGTTTTGGAAACTCCCACGATAACTTACCGGCTTTATTATCATTATTATTAAATTTATCGATCGTCGGTGCATTTCCGATCGTCGGCAAAGAGAATATCTCGTATCGTCTACAGGTAAAGTAGCGACGGAAGATAATCCCTGGGCGTTGGCGGGCAATTCCGAACCGATTCGAAACGTCCAATTATTTGTCAGTCTAAACGACGCGTGCTAAAGCAGATATTTCACGCGAAACGTCTCGTTTACAGACTCGTAAAGTGTTATCAGAAATCCGGTAGAATGATCGTTCGCGTCGCGATGAGGAATGCGTTTATCCTAACCGATTTCTCGTCGTTCGCGAGTCGCGCGACCCCAGGGCTGACTGAACCCATTCTCCAGGACGATTGTTCGCAGTTTCTATGCATCTACCCTTGCACGAGCGAACGCGTGCAGCTGCCCCGGGGTATTCGCGTTTCGTTGGTTCGCAATTTACCGGACGACCTTGAGCCGATCGCGGCGCATTTTCGCGACGACGCGATCAAAAAGGTCGAGGACAGGTCGCGGTGGATCAGGAAGGTGTTACGCACCGACGGCGATCCTTTTCGTAGGACGCAGTGTGGCGCGAACGCGGATGTACCGCACGGTGTTACGTGTGTACACGCGCGATCCAGCAGGAACCGCCGCCAGAAAATCAATCCGGGACGTCATGCCGTCGTGTGTATCAACAATGGAAAATCAATGGTAACCCGTGACGTAGGAGTCCCGCCTCAGGACGGACCAATAGGCTGGTCCTCCCGTCCCCACCGTGGCGAGCTTTTACACCTAACCACACGGCCGCCGGCGTGCTCATTCCGTAGCAGACAGCTGCCCAGACCGGACGCGCGTGTATTCGAACGACGTTGAAAAGGCAACGCACGCCGGAGATCTACCCGTGAAACCAACACGACGTGTATGCAGTTTTCCAGTCGACGCAGCAGCGAGAACAACCAACGGAGAGACCGAACCCGTTCAGCGACAACCGAAAACAGAACATAAAACGCGAACGCGCCAAAACGATCGATCAGATTACGAGCGGACGCGCGCGCGATCGAACGGGCCAAGATTTTTCTCGAATTTACGACCACTGTCGCGACCAGTCGCAACGTCGTGCGCTTTTATCGCTGAGGTCGGATCGTCGTGTCCAGTGAAGCGTAGAGTGCCGATCGACCCGTTGGGATAAACCTTCTGGACAGGTCTGTCGAGGGTTTTAAGCACGGGACCGCGACCAGTTCGAACTTTCCGGAGAAACGGTGGGAGAAAGACGGCGGCTAGAGGCGCACAGCGTGAGAAACGAGACGGTACTTCGAGAGGGATAGAGAGGAAGAGAGTGCGCGCTCACGAGTGCCGGCTACCGAGATGGCGTTTATGATGCCCGTGGTGAAAAACGAGTGGGACATTTACAAGACGAATCGCAACCGACGGTCCTCGGAGTGTTCCAATCCCCAGGCCTGTCGCAGCAGAAAGGTGAGTTGCTCGAAACTCTCTGACAGCCTTGGGACCAGGGTAGATCTAATTTCCCCAAAATGTCCATTCAAGTTTCCATAACAAACACCATGATGGTACGCGATACTGTCAGTCACTATGCTAGGAACGAACAGTTGTTTATAAATCCAAAGTAAACAATGGGTCGAGATGGAAGGGTTAACTCGCGTCGTAGTCACGTTTCGTTTGGTCTCGTGACGCGCAGTTGCACGGTTTTTTAAAGAGCGAGCTCGCTGCGTTTCGCCGGTCAAATTTGATAAAAGACCCCGGAAAACGGTCGCGCTTGGTCGACCGATATTTCCTGTTCCTCGCGGAGCGTCCCGGCGCTCCTGTGACCCCCGATTCGTGAAACGCGCCGAGGGATCCTAGAGCCGCGAACCGGTTTCCCAACGTCGCGAGACGTCGACGTGCGTCCGGGGCTCTGAATCAGAAGCGTCGAAGGGTGTTTGGTATTCGGGCTGGCGCGCGCGATCCACGTCGTGCAAATTTAAACATCGAATATTTCGAGACGCGCATCGCGGGGCCCGAGAATGTCGCATCGACATAATTTCACGCTTAGTCGGCGGCACTCGAGCACGGATGACAAAAGAGCGTTTATTTCGTTCGCGTCGTGTGAGGTAACCGTTGTTGACAGTCTTATTTCGCCGACGAAGAACAACAGAGCCAAAAAGCGCGGTTACGCTCCCTTCGGGCCGAGACTGTCGCCAGCGTTCGACGGTTTCGTAAACGTTGAATCTAATCCGCCGTTGTTGATACGGGGCGGGAAATAAAAGGTATTGACTTAGGCCAGTTTTTAATCGCCGGCATATATCATTCGACCGATATCTGGGTACCTCTTCGCGGCGTGACGCGCAATTGCGCAACATCGATCCTCGATTTCGTAATGCGTCGTGCAGTAATATCTCGTCTCGCGTGAAATCTCGCTCGGGGCGCCCTTATCGGGTGTCTTATTCGTACCATAATTTGATACGGCATCGATAACGGTGACACCAGTTTACCAGAGTCCGGATCCGAGCCGTTCCGTATCGGTGTGCATTGTTCGATGTAAATCTCGATAACCATTAGAGCGAATAAAAAGGCTTCGCCGTGCGCAGGAGATGATAACAACGACCACCAAGATAAGCCTTATCGGATCTTTTATCGGATTATTATGGCTTCTAACGGGTATGCAAAACACTGTCCCGCGTATCGAATCGAAAGATTTCGATCGATTTTATGGATCACGTTTCGTCACTTTCGCGATTTCAATGTCTTTGATTCGTTGTTCTCGTTCAGATAAGATATTTACCCACGAGTATCGATCCGAGACGATCCTTGATTTCTTTACGCATTCCAAGCGCTACAATTTGTTCATCGATCGATCGAGCATCGTCTCGTTCGGTCACGCTCGCCCTCGCGATCACGTTCGCTGGCAACGAAGGTGAAAGAGCGGGTTCGTGATCGCCGAAGGTGTCGTTTTCGGCTCGCGGATCATACGTACACGTACCTAGCGAGCCAGAGAGGAACTGTAAATCGCGTTAATCGATAACCACCGACTCCAGAGAGATAGTTATGGCCGCGAAAATTGTCGGTTTGGCTCTGTTCTGGCATTGCACCTTCGATCGCGCGTGCCGGATCGCGCGCGAGCTGTCTTGTGCAGCGATTCCGTTCAACACAGCATCCAAACGCGACGAGGAACAGCAAACAAGATCCATTCCTAGTCTTCGTATAATGATCCTACCAAAATGATCCATTTGTCTCAGACCAGAGGTCTCGAAAGTCGAATAAGACGGGTTTGAGGAAACGCGAGCGATCGTTGGCAATAATTGCCAGGTGTTAGGATATTATTTTCATTGGATGCAAGGCCACGTGTCGCGATTCGACTGGATTATGCAATTGCGCGTAACCAGAGGACAGGAATCTGCGGCGAGAAATTCGCTGTGCCCGCGGTCATGGCGCACGTGCACACGTGTGGCTTTGATTATTCGATGCGACGCGTCGTTTGCCAACCGCTGGTTCGATTCTAGCGTTACCTCAAGGATCTGGTCTTGCGCCGCTAGATTCGCACGCGAGAACAAATCATGCTTCGCTGATCCTTCGCGACAACATCCAAACATCCTACAGTACATCCAGCATTGCAGCGTTTGGGAGATCGTCGCAAAGTTATCCTCATAATTTTCTACAACTGCTTGCACCGTGACAATTGTGTCTCGTTCGTGAAACAACGAGATACATATATCGAATAAAACGCTGATCGTTTCATTGAGAGTAAAATCTGCCGCCATCGGCGATTTCAAATTGTAAACATAACTAGAATAAATGGATTACGTTAACAACGCCGATCTATTATTGCACCGTATCGTTTATATAACATCGTTTATATAATATTTTTTTCTCTCGTTTCCACTGTCGCGACGCAAGACGCTTGGCGACCGCTAATTATATTTTAATACCTTCGGATTTCGTTCGATCGACAAGGGTTTACGACTTGGAATAACTAGCAGTTTTTTCCAAGTCGCGTAGGCTCGAGTTTCCCATTCAAAGATATTAACGAGTCTCCAGGTTGGCCTATCGTTGACCTCTTGCAACCCATTATCCTTATAATTACGATATGTCCACTAACAACGAATACGAACAGACGTGTAAAGCACACGATTAAAATCGAGTTCCCTCGTAATGATTCTCGTACGAACGAAATACACAGACAAAGTTTAAACTTTGGAGCACCTTGTACAGAAAGACAATAGCGATTAAATTTCACCTACTTCTCTCAGAAGTCGTCGCTCTGAGTTCGCGATAACTTCTCTGACGCGCTGTATGCTACAGTGTTCCGTTCGTCGTCAGACGCGAAAAGAATTCGAGAGCTATCGAAATCGTTCGTTCGATCCTCGCAGCCGAGTCGAATATGAAGTATGGAATCGTAGTGAAAGTAGTCGGGGTCCTTGCGAGTTTTGAAATGAGGCGTCTGCGTCCGCGAAACGCTCGAGACGAAACGAAGAAGCGTTTCGAAAGCGGCTGGCGAACAAACTTTGGATTTCTATCGCGTTTGACATCGGTGAGACAGACTACATATTGCCGAGTAGCCTCACGTTTTACCGATGCTCCAACTATTACCGTCGATCGTAAATCACGGTCTCGTTAAATAACAGGTTTATAAATCTCTATATTTAAGTTATGATTCCACCGCGAGGGAGTCGCGAAGAAATCACAATAGGTTCCATTTATAGAACAAGTTTCTATCACGAAGCAAACACAACTTTACGACAGTTTGAGCCTCCCGGTGGCAATTCTCGTTGAATCGAGCACATAGTGTTAAGCAACGCATCGCGTAACCGGCACGATATGCTAAAGATGGAATGGTTTGTTTTCCTGTTCGCAGGTGTCGGAATGCTCAAAGTCGGAGGGACCGTCGTTGTCGACGTCGCCGGGTTCCGACTTCCTGACGTCGCCGGCCCACCGTTCGGTGCCTCTGACGTCCCGACATTTCTCGAGGACGTCGTCGAGAGCGTCGCAGAGCTCGTTGCAGAGCCCGAGCAAAAGCACCGGTTCGTCGCCGCCGAAGACCGGCAGCTCCAACTCCCTGAACAAGTTCCACAATCGGCTGGTGGACAAGCTGAAGAGATCGCTGAGGAAGGCAGAGGAGTGCGGGGATGACCAGCGAAACTTGTCGTGAAACAGCCAGGGGGTTTTGGGCCGGCCACCGATCCCCGGCTCGAAACCGATCGAGATCCGACGCACCTCCGCACCGGTTACCGCGTCCGAGACGAGCAGCGACGCGGTGGCACGATCGTGCCCGGATCCGCCGCCTTCGGCATGGTAGACGACAGCTGACGAACCGGAAGACGAAGGGAGAGTCCCGTGAATCCCGATCGCGGCCAACGACGATCGACTCTGTGACGAGTCACTGGGCACGGCCGATCCGGAGGATCGCGGCCGTCGCGAATCGATCGGAGGCTCGCGAAACACCAGCAACGGGAAGATACAGAAAGAAGTCGGGGACCCCGAGAGAAGATGTTCGAGGTGGACGATCGCGTTGGAAGAGTTCCATGGATTCGTCGGAGGGTACCTCCGATCTCCTCGCCCCGGAGGAGGGCGATTCCAACAGCCGAATAAACCAGTGACCAGTAGGTTGCCGCGTGCTTGCTCTCTTCTACGTTTCTCCTTCGCCGAAATCGCAGAGGCATCGTTAGATACGCAACCCCGAGTTTCCCTCTTTCGTTCGATGAGATACCGTTTCGGATCGTTGTCACGGGAGACGGCCGACGAACGACGCACGGAGGATGATCGGAAGAAAATCGTTTACGTGTTTAATTTACGATTCGATGCACGCCGCGCGCTTCCCTTCCCATCCGTCTGATCTTGGCCGGAATAAATCGCGATCGTCGCGTCATTCTTTTGGATAACTGTGAGAATCTGTTTAGGATGACGACAAGAAGAGAGATTTAGTGTGAGAGAGATAGAAATGGGCGAGGAATCTCTGCGAAGGAGCGGTCGAGACCCATGGAGAGCTCCTTCGCGAGCGAAGAACGCAAGGACGAGCACCGCCGGGTACGGAGACGCCGAACCATCGTCCAGGAAGAACCCAGGTACATAATTGCCGACGGAATATTCGACCTCGATGTCCGGGGTGCACGTTCAGAGGTGTATACATATAATACGTATATCGCGTTGATTTGGCACGCGTCAGTCGCAACGGTACGTAACCGCACGGGATCGATCACAGGATCTCAGCGTCCGGACCTAAAAGTTCCTTCGTTGTACATTATCGCGCGTATATAGAATCTTAGCACTGTGACGGCCGCAACACCCATTCTTTTTTTAACGTTCGAACATACTCGACCAATCTCTTCGAGCCAGATTTACGGAAACCATTAATTTTCTTCGATATTATTTCTATCGATCGTATCGAGTTCTATTCGAATATGCACGCTTTGAAAACCTCCCGATAAAGAACGCCTCGACCCGCTTTCTGGACTGACCGACGTTCGTAGACCAAAATATTGTACGAAATTCGGAACGTAGACGCCACGATGAACGTACCCGTACGACTTAAACGGAAAGAGACTCGAGAAGTCGAAATAAGTTGGGGATCGCGTGTGTACGCGACGCACAGCGGCCGTCAAAGTGTTATCGAAGACTTATGTAAGTGTTGCCACGCGACTTTTGCTTTTCGCTGTTTTGAAAACTAACGATTAGTCGGGAGCGCGTGAATCAGATCGTCCCGTAAAGATCGTGCGAATCCTAATATTAATATTTACGTTTCGATGCGATATATCTCTCGCTGCCGGTAGCAATGATCCCTCCCTCTCGTTCCGAGTTCTCTCGTTAATAACATATTCCCCGATCGTTATCGAAAATGTCTCGCCTTTTAATCGTTTATCACGCAATTGGTAACCATGATGAATATGTTTTTGAAACATTAGGACACGCAGAAAAGAAAGAGCGACTAAACGGGGGCGTGACTCGCGTCGAAGCGAAGGGGGTTCCGGTAAGAGCTTCTCGCATACGGACGCAACCGGAAACGCTCGTTTTCATCGTTAAGATTACTTGCTGCCTCCGAAGGGGATGCGCGAGCGTGTGCGCAAAAAAAAAAAAATACTGCGAAGGAATGCACAGAGTCGCGATTATTGCGTACCACACTTACACACTCGCGTTCCAGAGTTGGGCAGTAATTCGTAACAATAGACTCCCCTATAACGCGAACGAGACAACATCTTTCGAACGATTATTATCGTGCCAACTTTTATTTTCAACAATGTTGCCAAGAACTCGCGTAATACGAGAGTCTACTGTACGCTGTGATTTACCCTTGTAATCGATTAACAAGAACAACAGGACGACGATAATAACAATCGATCGATCATCGCTGACGCGAAATAGATTAATCGTTCGATTAATAGAATTCAACGAAAGATTGCTTTAACTTTTCTTATTGTTAACTTATCGATTCGATCGTGTTTAAAAGCGTAAACGTCTCGTGATCGATGATTAACGCGTTAATTGCGTCCGACGATCGCATTCCTTCCGATTATTCGCGTTAATCATATATATGGTTAATTGGATAACATTTTGCCCAACACTGTCGCGTACATATACATACACAGAATATAATATGGAGCTAGTGAGAGAACGGAAGCCTAAGAAAAGATATACTTTTAACCATGTACCGTTCAAGCGAGATTAGTTGTACTTGCGCTCGTGAATATTTATTCGAAACTTTTGTTACTTTTTCTCGCGCCCGTTGTGCAAAGTGTACCGAAATACGCGATCCGGAAACGTAGAATGAAGTTTCTTTTGAAAATTCTGATTCTGTTGTCCACGATCGAGAGTTTCGCGAATCACGAAACACTTTGTACAATCGGGGGACGAACGAGCATACGCATCGCGTCGAAACGATACGCGGCTATCTTCCGGATTCATTTCTGCGCACTGCGACTCTTCAAGTTGCGTTATTTTGTCGGTGTTCGATTTTAAAAAGCTTTTGCCGACGATTTCCGTCGTGTCGTGTCGACGCCAGTTCGTAAGTGCTCGCGAGAAACGCTTAGCGGATAAAGTGTTTACGCCGTGAAAGAGATATTTTCTTAATACGATCCTCGCAATGTACGGAGATGCATCGTAGCGCTTTCCCTCTGTCCCGCGCCCGAGGTATATATTCGATTTTACTGTTTCGATTAGCCGTTACGAAGCATTTGTTAACTTCTTGTATAGTATAATGTATTAACTTCCGTCGAAACGAGCGGTCAAGTCTGTTATTCGTTGTATGCCGAGCAATCTTTTTAAACGACGACGCAGGAGGGTTACGAAGATGAAAAGTGTTCTCGAAATACGAACGCGGAACGACGTCTTTCGATGGCATCGAATGAAAATCACAGAGATACCTTACGTGCAATTACGGGAAACGAACGGGAAAAAGAAACGCGTTTCATTTTCCGTCCACAATCTGTTCGCGCACGACGAAGAAATTCGAAACCAAAGAGAGTCTCTGGTTCCGGTACAGATGTTTCTTTTAACGTTTAAATGTTCCGTACTTTTCTTTATCCGAGCTTTGGAAGATTTCATTACCTATTTACTTCGGGGCTGTTAGTATAGAAGATGTCGTTAACCACCCTATCTTAGGGTAACTAGCCTATAGGCAGTGAGTGTTCCAAACCATCTAATACTGCCATCATCTTCCTACGCGTGGCAGGTCCGAGGTTTTCTGATGTTTTACCCTTTTAACGTCATCAAATCCTGAAAGATATTTTACAACAGCTGGAACTGTTCTTCCACTAAAGCCACGCGACGTCCTGCTGTTTCGAGTACTTTGAAAAAACCAACATAATAGCAAGAAAATTCGCTCGGGTGTGTTTGGTTCGTCAATTCCGGTGAACCAAAAACCCCATAAATTTTAAGCTCTCGCTGTTGGACGACCTTCCGTGTCGAAAACGGAATTAGGGCGTCCATAGGAAGCGGATCGTTCTTAGGAACGCTGGACATGATAGATAAGCGCGTCGGCTTTTGTGGAAGAACCATTCTCTGCCCTACATCCGGTTGTTTTGGCGGTTCAGGCAATTGCATTCGTGCCACCCGGCTGTAGAAGCTGTAGCTTCCATTTATTAAAATGTTCACTCTTATCTAATCGTCTCTATTTAATATAATTTGAAACCCGAGGTCTTATTCGGGCACTGCCTCGCTAGACGTCCCTTTTTTTTTCTTGCAAACGAAACAAACGTCTCGCGACATCTTCTGCGTCCACTCGAATCGTTTATAATTTTTTTCGAACGCGATATGAATTTTAGTTCGTGCTTGTCGTTTACGAAATTACGAAGTTGGGAGCAATTTAAACGATACCGCGTGTAACTCTGTGATACCGTAAGCTATAAGGTAGAATTATTTTGCAACGATCAAAGAAAACAAACGAAAACGGAAAAAAAGGAAAAAATAGAAACGGGGGAGATAGTTGGGGAAGAGATGTTATTATTGTTACGACGAAAATTCGTACGAACGCTTCGATTCTCCGTTAAAGTCGACGCATAATCTTTTTTAAACGAAGCAAGGATTCTTTTTTGTTAAATTCCGATGGGAGAAAGAAAATTCGATATACGAAAGAATACATTATCAGTCCTGTTTAGAAAATTCGATTGGATTTCGGTATGTGGGCATCGAAGACGATTCAACATGTTTTCCTCGAAGCAATCGAAAGTTTAACGCGAGACAATGATTCAACGACGACAGATTTCGGACGTCCCGCGTATTTTTTGAGCTAGAGACGGAGCGGACGAAGCGGGAAAGGAGAAAAAGAGGATCGGCTAAGAACGAGATGGAGACAGAGCTTAAACGAAAAAAATGCTAAAATGTCGCGCGATGGACTTTAATAACGCAAACGTTGCCGTTACATGTAAGACTGCTTTAGAGAAACAAAAGAAACAAATAGAATTATCGGTCGGATGTTACATTGTGGTGCTGGACGGAAACGTTTTGGGACTCGCGAAGGGTTCCCGGAAGTTCGCGGCGACGCTTCGCGAGGATTCCCAAAAATTTCGTCGGATGATTTGTACTGATGAAAACAAAAAAAATGGTGTTACTAGAGTTTAGAGATTGACGAGATAATACGATCTATTTATTACGGCGGCCTCGGACCGCGGAGTAAACGTGGATTGGGACTCTTTAATTTCCTGGCTTTTTGTACGCAGTGTTTTGTTACTTGTAAAAGTTCGCTAGATTCAAATCGTATCGTAAAAAGCTTAAAAGACAAATGATTTAATAGCTGATCTTTTCAGCTCGATCCACTTTCATTCTACGGTCGCAACGTTCGCGCGATTACAAAGCTATACAAAAATATATATATATATATATATACATACATACACACTTAAACACACATACGTATATGTATATTTATTATTCGACGACTTGACTATTTTTTGTATTACTGTTTTCAAGTACTTTATAATTATTCGTTATACCTCACACGGGACATTTTGAGCTGATTTTTAGCGCGTGGTTGAGGAGACAAGGCACATGTGTTCATCAATTTTTAAACCGGCTAATTTTTATCGAATTACACGCGCCGGGACGGTGTTTTAAAATTGATTTCAACGCCAACGTTTCGCGCGTTGGCGTTCGAAACTCGACCTCACTTTATATTTACCGTACCGTATTCCTTTTTTCACGTAGAACATTTTATAAACGAGAACAAAGTCGCTTGACGCGCGTCGTGTTGCCAAACTGATATCGATAACAAATATCTTTCCTCGTTGATTGGTCAGCGTATCGCCGATTTGCTCTAGACTTAGGCCTTTCTTCTCATCCACGACGATTGAATGTCACTGCCAAAATCCCCCTGAATTACGTGAAAATGTAGCGTGCGTGGTCAAAAGACTCGAAAACCGGCTGTTATCGCCTTTTTCCCCAACAGTCTGTTCTTATTCTGCCGCCACGGGCCTCTGGTATCCCCCCACCCATTGTATTTCGATCTTACATTGTGTATTTATTTTTTTTTTTTACGAATAGCGGCTTTCGTTGTCGAGAAAGGAAAACCCGTGCCGCTCGCTTTTCTTCGTCGATGCATTCGCAAACACCGAAGCGAAAAACGATTCGAAAGGTGTTGGAATAAAAAAAAAAAACGTTCACTCGCGTTGAGAATTTCACGTTGGAAATTTTGTAGCGATCGGACGATGAAAACTGTAAGGAAAAAGCGAGACGGCGGGTGCACATTCCATAAATCTAACTATACATACTTGTCTAAAATAATAAATCTGTTAGCGTTTGATAAGACATTCACGTAAGATATTACACGCGACGATGATAATAAATGAATAATATATCTAAAGTTTGAAAGCTTACAATAGACTCGGTTTACCATTATTATGTATCGTGATTTTTATGTCATGTTCAATAAATGAGTTTTAACATACGCTCGGTCTCTCTCCGTTTGTTTCCCCGTCAAACACGATCCCGTTGCACAGAAACGTTACTTTTGGTGTTCCGGTAATCGAGCAGGTGTTTCAAGGATTTCGTTGCAGCCCCGACGGAAGATTGGAATAATTCTTTCGTAATGAGTCACGCAACGACTCTAAAATTACGACGCACGATCGCTTAAACCGACGATGACACGCGAAAAAGAGCATCTGAAAACTCGAGTGACGTGGGGGATCACTATGATTCATGATTAACGGATTCTTTGAATATGATTCGTCGATATTGTCGTCAATTCAAATCGCAATTGCAATAAAATATCAGTACGATATGAAATTATCGTGGCACAAGTATCTCAAATAACACTGTTCGGTTATGATTAAAAGCTTGTCAATTCCGATAAGTATTACTTTCCGAGCACTATGTTGAGGTATCGCACAGGTAACGTAACGAGTTGTCATTTCTCTTAAGAGCGATACGATTCGAGTAGTAAATATCAGTGTTGCCCGATTATTCGAATAAAATCTTTATCTAGAGTGTTCTTATAACATTCTTAGTTTTCTCGAGAACCAATCCCTTTTGCTATCCTTTGAAACACGACCAAGTTATATCTAACGAGTTGGAGATTGCGGGGGAAGAGAAAACTCTACAATAATAAGTTGCTAATTATGTTTACCGTAATTAAACGGGTATCGAAGTTGCCGTAATTTACGGGAGCCGTTGCTCGGTAAGTTTGAAGTCGTTCGAAGACGTTTCTCAGCGTGGTTCGATACTAGAATGCGAATCGATGGTCTGGAACCCTTCGCTGTTCGCGACACTCGCAACCTCTGGGAAGTTGGTAAGCTAATCGATATCACCTCGA